ATTAACTTGTTATTTATACATCAAAGTAATTTCTGCCATTGTATCAGTAGCATTTCATTAATTATATCTCTTTTTTATTTTAGGCTTTGCTCTGTTACCTTGAAAGACTAAGGATTTTGTTAGGACTTTGCATTAAAAATTTCCTGGCAATACATTTAAGCCAAGAAAATATTGCAACAAGTATGATTGGGGCAGATATTTTAAGCAAATTCTATTTTCCCCAACTGATTCCTTTAAGAGGTCATTAAATCCCTCTTCTAAAACTTATTAGCAGGTAAATATAGATATCAATTGGAGATTAGGTATATGGTTAATTAAACTTGTATTAAGGCAGATTAAGAAATCACTCTTCCTGCTCATTATAAACCAAAGCTAGGACTGAGCTTTATATCTGGACTTCCTGTTTTAATCCCTTGAGTGTATCACATAGAGGTTTCATGTCCAGAGGAACTATTTGTCACTAGATTTCCTTTTGCCCTATCCCCGCCAACAGGCAATAGTGATCTGTACACTAGCAAGGGAGGGAAAAGAATCAAAAGTTGATTGAAAAGAGGTCTTTATATCAGAATTAGGAGAGTTTCTTATGCCTGTGTCAGTATGACACTATTGTTGCTTGAGTCATAGTATGCCAGACAACCCATTTGAATTCTCCACTATATTAACTGATTTCCCCCCCCCCCCCACTGGTTAAATTGAATTGACTAATCTTTTCATTGCCTCAGGACACCACCTAAAAGGTTTATATTTTCATGTTAGTTCTGTTTTGGTCACTTTAAACCAACCCCAGGGACTGAAATAGTCTCCTTGGAACTTACACATATTTATTCCTTCTCTGCATGTTACTGCATGTGGGTTTCAAAGAGAACTTCGCGTGGTGAGAGAAGGCAGTGGTAGGGGTGGGAATAGGGAGCAATGGAGGAACATGAGGCAAGAAACTCTCACTGAGGTCATAGTTCCGGTGTTTTCGGTTTTTTTCCACATTCCCTCTTGAATTTTTTCACTGGGCCAATCATTTGCAAGGGCTACATTTTTTTTAGACTTTCCAAGTTTATCCTTCCAAATCTGTCTCCCTTCTGTTCTTTGTGTGAATCCCCCATTCTAGACCAAGACTACAGGAAGAGCTAGAACTCCCTGCACTATGCTGAATTAATAGTGGTAGGAGCACACATCTTTGCCTTGTTCCTGATCTTAGGGGCAAAGCATTCAGCATTCAGTCTTTCACCATTTTACCAGATGCTAGCTGTAGATTTTTTGTAGATGCTTTTTATTGGGTTGAAGATGTGTCTCTTTATTCTTATTTTTTCTGGGAGTTGTTTCTTTTTTTCTTGAATGGGGTGTTGAATTTTATTAAATATTTTTTCTGCATTGATTGATGTAATCGTGTGATTTTTTTTTAAGAGACAGGGTCTTGCCCTGTCACCCAGGCTGGAGTGCAGTAATGTGATCATGACTCACTATGGCCTTGAACTCCTGGGCTCAAGCAATCCTTCCACCTCAGTCTCCCGAGTTGCTAGGACTATAGGCATGTGCTACTATGCCTGGCTAATTTTTCTATTTTTTTGTAGAGATGGGGTCTCATCATATTATCCAGGCTGGTCTTGAACTCCTGGCCTCAAGGTATCCTCCTGCCTTGTCCTCCTAAAGTTCTGGGATTACAGGTGTAAGCCACTGTGCCTGGTCTATTATATCATTTTTTTCTTTTTAGATTGTTAAAGTCATGGATTACATTGATGGATTTTAAAATATTTAACCAACCTTGTTTCCCTGGGGTGGATTCTATGCTGTACAATTCTGTAAAAATATTGTTTAGTTCTATTTGCTAATATTTTGTTAAGATTTTTTGCATCTATATTCATGAGGGACTTTGGTCTACAGCTGTCTTTTTTTATACTGTCTTTGTATGGTTTTAGTGTTGGTGTAATAGTGATCTCATAAAACGATTTGGGAATTGATCTCTTTTATTTTCTATAAGATAATGTATAGAATTGGTATTGATTTTCCCTAAACACTTGATAGAGTTCTCCAGTAAAAACTTATGAATCTGTACTATCAGGAATTTGAAGACACAGAAGAGAAAGAAAAAACAAAACTTATGAGCCTGGAGGTTACTTTTTTCAGAGTTTTAAATTTACAAATTCAATTTCCTTAATAGTTATAAAACTATTCAAATGACCTGTTTCATATTCAGTGAGTTGTGGTAGATTTTGTCTTCTGAGGAATTGGTCTGTTTCACATCTAATCATCAAATATATGGGCAGAGTTGTTTGTAGTATTCCCTTATTATCCTTTTGATATCTCCAGGGTGTGGAATGATGTCCCCTGTTTCTTTCCTGATAGTGGTAATTTGTGTCTTCTTTCTTTTTTTCTCTGCCAGTCTTGCTAGGAGATTGACAATTTTATTTCTCTTTCAAAGAACCAGCTCTTTTTGCATCATGTTCAGCCATCCAGGAATCGCCAAGGCAGTCACTTCTTTCTTTTCAATTCATGTTTCTCCTCCATTCTACTTTAAATGGTTAACATTTTGTTTCAATTGCCATTCCCCATTCCTGTGACCTTACTTTTTCTTGTCTATGTCTTGACAGACAGCCCATTCTGTTTACCCTTTCTTTTGACCTTGCTTTCATTAGGTGACCACATCTCGCCGGTATCTCTAGAAAGTTTCATTTCTGAAACTGGCTTGTATCATAATTGTATAAAACAGCTGTAAGTTCTCATTAGAACCATTATAACTGCCTTGTAGAAAAATTGCCTAATAAAAAACTAAGAGTTTGGTAAATGTCAATTTTGAATATGTCCAAGTGCAACACCATCGTGTACTGGAAAGAATTCAAGGTATGGCAATATAATACTTGGGTTTGGAGCCTGACTCTGTCACTTACAATCTCAAGTAATAGGCAGAGCTACATTGCTCAGGCTTGCTTAGTAAAGCCTTGAGAACTAGTAGTGGATCTAAGTGCATCTTGGAGTAGAATAAAGCTTTCAGAAACTGGCCATACCCCACCTGTCATTTCTGGGGAGTGACAGAATTGGCTCTTACCGCTATTTTTCTGCCTTGTTTCCATTCTACTTAACCTGGCCCCACTGGACAACTCACTGTCACAGGAACAGTTCTGCCATGAGCATTGCCATTTCTACATCTGTGCTTCTGGAATCTTCCCTAAATAGAAAACTGTAGTGTCTTCCCTGACTGTATGAATTCTAGCCACTCTCCAGGATCAGACCAAGTACCCTCTTCCCAGCAAGATCTTCTCTAACCATTCCTCTGAACTCTGGTAAGAACACCTGTCCATGCCATCAACTAAGCCCTTCAGTAATTTTATCTCTGAGCATCATATTGGTTAGGAGTACAGGCTCTTGTGAAGACACACCTACAATTGAATCTTGGCTTTGCTATTTCCTAGCTGCATGACCTTAAGCAACTTACTTCACCTCCTTGAACCTTAGTGACCTCCTCTATAAAACTGCTGTAAAGATTAAATAATATGTTTTAAAAGCTATTAAGTGTGAAGTAAATATTAGGGGTATTTTAATATAATACTAATTTAAAATCAAGGTTAGATAGGAAATGCATATGAAATAATGCTGTAATAGAAGAAATTGCAAAACTATAGGTAAAGTAAGAAAAATCTGTGTGCGTGTGTATCTGTGTGTGTATGTGCTCACAAACATGCATAAAAATAACAAGACACACTTTAAAATGTAACTAAATGATGGTTAGCTCTAGGTAATGAAAAATTACTGACTTTTATTTTCTTTTGTATATTTTGAATTTTTAAGTGTGGAATGGTAATAAATTTATATCTTGAAAATAATATTTAGAAAAGAAAAATCAAGGTCTGATGATATATTATTATTTGGTTATTTATGCTCCACCATACTTCTGGAGGGGCTTAAAGCAGCATACAATATAGAAAGACAAAATTGAAATATAAAACAAAATGAAGCAAAGAAAAAAAATGCAGGTAGAGAAAATATAATATAGTGACACTGTTAAACATTTATTGTAACTGACATATATTTTAATTGTTTTTTTTTTCTAAGAAAGAATGCCCTAAGATATTCCTTAGTCATGAGTAAGATTACCTTTGTAAAAGCAAGGCAGCATTTTATGATAAAATGAAATAATATTAAACTGATCTAAGAAAGAGAAGAATTTTCTGCTACCTTTCAGTGCATTAAAGATTTGGATTATTTTGTTGTTGGCACAGTAGACAGCCCAAAGAAAGGCATGGTTGCTATTATTTATATTAATTTATACTTATGTAGTAAGTCTCAAGTTAGAAGTACAGATGCTTCTCAACTTACAATGAACTTACATCCTGAAAAATCCATTATAGGTTGAAAATACCATAAATCAAAAATACATTTAATATACCTAACCTACCAAACACCATAGCCTAGCCTTGCTACCTTAATGTGCTCAGAGCACTTATATTGGCCTACAGTTGGGCCAAATCATCTAACACAAGGCCTATTTTCCAGTAAAATGCTAGAACATCTCATGTACACAGTCATTTGCCAAAGTGGGAAAAGATCAAAACTCAAAAGTCAAAGTATGGCTTCTACTGAATGCATATCACTTTTGTGCTATTGTAAAGTCAAAAAAATTATAAATCGAACCATTGTAAGTTGAGAACCATCTGTATACATTTAGTTAGCTTTGATTTTGCTTCTCTGTTTTGAATAAGTTGAATGGAGAGGCTGACTAGAGTAAAGGGAATTCCTAAGCTAACAGTGAAGTGCTTGCCCTGACCCTGCTACTACTTCGCTAAGTCTACTTCTTGGCTTATTCCTCCCTCAGAAATTGAGGGGCCCAGACAAGAAGATCTAACTTTGGCCATCTATAGTTTAGTAAAGTTGTAGTTTTATTTGTTTAATACTGTCTATTTCCACTGATCCTTCCACCTGGAATCTTCATAGTATGTTAGTTGACCTATGCTATAAAATATTAATTGTAGATGTATAATGATATTAACATAACTTAAATGTCTTTTTCACAGAGAGACCTCTTTCCCCTAAGGCTGTCAAAGGATTTGAAACTGCTCCACTTACCAAGAATTATTATACTGTGGTGAGTGTTAAGATGATGAATAAAAATTGTCTTGATGCTATATGGAAACTTTTCATTTGTCAATCCACTCATGTGTTGAAGTGACACAAAGGAAAGACTGGATAAAGTTGCGTGCAAGGGTCCAATTCCATTTGCATGACAAAGGAGCTCTTCTACTTGTAGGCTTCTTACAGATGTCTAGAAGTGTTATATCCACCGTGCTGAAAAATTCAAGGGTAGCACAAAGATTCAGAGCAAGGTCTATTAAACAGCAGTGAAAGAGAAATTGGTTAATATTTAAGCATTACAGTGAAACTCAGCAGTTACACATAGCCTTACCAGATATTTAGAAAGTGAATGTCCAAGTTTCTGTAATACACTAAGTTTTAAGTGATTACATTCTATGATTTTACTTTAGAATCAACCACTCCATTATTATATCCTCTGGAATATTATCAGACTTGTTTTTGAGGAGAGCCCAGAGGAAGACTGCCCTTTGGCACAGTGAGAGGAATGAAATGTTTCTGGCTTGAACACAGATATGTCAGAATATGTTAGCTATAAATAGGACATGTGCAATACTCAAAATAAGTTCCTGTTTGAAAAAGAAATCACATCATTCTTCTTAATCTACTCTCTGCTTTCGTTCATGTCTTCTTTCCAGACTTGGCCCAGTCACTAATGAAAAGGTCAAGTCATCATTACCACTAAGTTTTTCTGACTGTTAGCCTTGTCATCTCCCCCCACCTCTGCTGAAATATCGCTTAAATTTCCACCCAGTGTTCTATATGTGTTTGTACTACATGCTCATTTCATCTTGTGCATGGATAAAGAGTTTATAAAGATCTGTATATAGGTATGTAAATGTCATTTGGTTTCAAAAAATTGAATTTTACTCTTCAGTGAATCTACTCGGTAATGCTGACATAAGCAATAGATGATATGAAAAATCAAGAAGGAACTTCCTAGATAACATGGACAATAATCAGAGAGGACTGTTATTTATTTATTTATTATTTTGTCTTTATTTTGTTGTAAAGGTGTGAAGTACAAGTCAGGATTAGGTAAATAAGTAGTCTGCGTGTAGGTGAGGTTTGGGCTTTCAACTGGTCTTCACTTCCCTTGGTTTAGGATCAAATACCCTTAGTGGTGTTATGTGCATCCCTCTTCCCCTGGCAGTGTCCCCTGCTAATCCCTAGAGGACTATTTCGTCAATATTTTTCCTCTTATATTTCTGAGGTTAAAATATATTTCCCAGCAGAGGCAAGCTCCTGTCTGCCTTGTTTCCTGACCACCTATTTCAGCTTTTTGGTGACCCCTAGTGATTTAATTTTTTAAAAAAAATTTAATTTTAATGATGTGGGGTTCAACCCAGGGTTAGGTATGCAAATGTTCATTATGCAGGTATTCTTATTGATGAGGTGTGCCCCCTACCCCTGGCAGTTTCCCACTACTGCCAATCCCTTTCTTACTATAGTATGATAATTGTTCAAGGTCCAGTTATGAGTGAGAACATACAGTACTCTGTTCTTTGTTTCTGTGACAGATCACTGTGTATGATAGACTCTAAACCCATTCAAGTTGCTGAAAAGTCCATAGTCCTTCTTTATGGCTGAGTAATATTCCACTGTGTATGTGCACCACTTTTTTTATGCAGTCCAGCTTCGATCGGCAGCATGGTTGGTTCCATGTTTTTCCTCTTGTGAATAGAGCTGCAATAAACATGCATGTGCAGGTATCTTTTTTGTAGAATGACTTGATTTCCTCCGGGTATATTCCCAATAGGGAGATTCCTGGGTCATATGGAAGGTCAATTTCTAGTTCTTTCAGAAATCGCTACACTGTTTTCCAACGAGGTTGCACTAGTTTGCATTCCCACCAGCAGTGCAGAAACTTTCCTTTTTCTCTGCATCCTCGAAAGCATCTGTTGTTGTTTGTTTTATTAATGATGGCCATTCTTACTGAGGTTAGGTGATATCTCAATGTGCTTTAGCATTTTTCTGGTGATGAGTGAGGCTGAGCACTTTTTCATGTGTCTGTTGGCTGCCTGTATCTCTTCTTTTCAGAATACCTATTCATGTCTTTTGCCCACTTTTTTTTTTTTTTTAATGGGACTGTTCATTTTTTCCTTTCAGCACCTTTGAGTTCCTTGTAGATCCTGGATGTTAGGCCTTTGTCAGATATTCAGTTGGCCAATTTTTTTTTTTTCTCTCATTCTGTGGGTTGTCTCCGTTCTCTTGATGATTTCTTTTGCTTTGCAGAAGCTTTTCAGTTTGATGAAGTCCCACTTGTCTACTTTATCTCTAATGGCATGGGCCCTTGGGGCTTTGATCAGTAATTAGTTGCCAGTTCCAATTTTCATAAGGATATCTCCTGCATTTTCTAAGGTTCTTATAGTTTGAGGTTTTATGTTTAGGTCTTTGATCCATTTAGAGTTGATTTTTGTGTATGGTGATAGGTAGGGGTCCTGTTTCTATCTTCTGCATGTGTTCAGCCAGTTTTCCCAGCGCTATTTACTCAATAGCTTCTCCTCTCCCTAGTGGTTGCTGTTGGAAGCTGTATTGAAGATGAGTTGGTTGAGAAATTGAGATTTTGCTTCCAGAATCTCTGTCCTGTTCCATTGGTCCATATGCCTGTTCTCGTACCAATACCAGGAGGTTTTGATTACTGTAACCTTATAGTAAAGTTTGAAGTCTGGAAGTGTGATACCTCCTGCTTTGTTTCTTTTGCTAAGGATTTTTTTTTTTTTTTTTTTTTTTGCTATTCGTGGTTGTTTATGCTTCCATATGAATTTCTGTATTGTCATTTCCTGGTCTGAGAAGAATGATGTCAGTAATTTAATCAGTATTATATTGAATCTGTAGATTGCCTTTGGTAGGATTGACATCTTAATGTTGATTCTTCCTATCCATGAGCATGGAATAATTTCTCATTTTTTTGTGTCTTCCTGGATTTCTTTGATCCTTGTTTTGTAGTTTTCATTGTAAAGGTCTTTCACTTCTCTGGTTAGGAAGGTGCCAAGGTATTTCATTTTTTGTGTGACTATTGTGAATGAGATTGTGCTTTTTATTTGGTTCTCTGCCTGCTTGTTGTTGGTGTATAAGAGTGTGACTGTCTTTTTGCACATTTATTTTGTACCCCAAGACTTTGCCAAAGTCCTTTATCAGTGCAAGCAGGTTTTTGAGAGATTCTCTTGGATTTTTGAGGTATAGGATCATGTTGTCAGCAAAGAGAGATAACTTGACTTCCTCTTTTCCTATTTGGATACCCCTGATTTCCTTCTCTTGTCTAACTAATCTAGCTAGGACTTCCAACACAATGTTGAACAATAGGGGTGAGAGTGGGCAGCCTTTTCTTGTTCTAGTTTTTAGGGAAAATATTTCCAGTTTCTGTCTGTTTAGCAATATGCTGGTTGTGGGTTTTTCAAAGATAGCACTTATTATTTTGAGGTATATTCCTTCTATACTAGATGTTTGAGGGTTTTTATCAAGAAGGGATGCTGGATTTTATAAAAAACTTTTTCTGCATCTAATGATATAATCATGTGGTTCTTGTTTTTATTACTGTTGATGTATTTAATTACATTTATGGTCTTGCAGATGTTGAACCAGCCCTACATTATGGGGATGAAGCCTACTTGGTCATGGTGAATGATTTTTGAGATATGTTGTTGGATTCGATTTGCTAGAATCTTGTTGAGGATTTTTGCATCTATATTCAAGGGATATTGGCCTGTAGTTCTCTTTTTTTGTTGGATCTTTACCCAGTTTGGGTATCAGTGTGATGTTACCTTCATAAAATGATTTGGGGGAGAATTCTATCTTTCTCAATTGCCTGGATACTTCAGTAGGATTGGTATCAGCTCCTCCTTGTAGGTTTTCAGAATTCTGCTAGAAAGCTGTCCAGTTTGGGGTGTTTTTTTTTTTTTTGGTAGTTTTCTTATGACAGAGTCAATTTCCTGCATTGTTTTTTGTCTGTTTAGTGTCTCAATGTTTTTTTTTGTTTTGTTTTAACCTTAGGATGTTGTGTGATGTCAGAAAGTCCTCCATTTCATTTAGGTTATCAAGTTTGTTTCCATACAGGTGTGCATAGTAATCGCTGATAATCTTTTGTATTTCTTCAGGGTCAGTTGTGATTTGATCTTTTGTATTTCTGATTGTGTTTATTTGGGTTTTTTCTCTCTTTTTCTTGGTCATTCTGGCTAGGGGTCTATCAATCTTGTTAATTATTTCAAAGGACCAGCTTTTTGTTTTGTTTATTTTTTCTGTGATATTTTTGTCTTCTATGTCTCTATTTGGGCTTTTACTTTGGTGATCTGGATTCTTCTGCTAAAGTTAGAGTTTTGTTGGTCTTGTCTTTCCAGCTCCCTTAGGTGATTTGTTAGGCTGTTAACTTGTGATCTTTCCATTTTCTTGATGTGCATTCATAGAGATATAAATTCCCCTCTTAGAACTGATTTCACGGCATTTCAGAGGTTTTGATGAGCTATTTCTTCATTTTCATTTGTTTCCAGAAATCTTTTAACTTCTGTTTTGATTTCTTTGTTGACCCAGTAGTTATTTAGCATCATGCTGTTTAGTGTCCATATATTTGTGGGTTTGGGGGAAATTTTGTTGGTGTTGATATTTATTTTTATCCAACTGTGGTCTGAGAAAGTGCATGGCAATATTTCAACTGTATGGAAATTTTTTATGCTTGATTTATGGCTGAGGATGTGATTGATCTTGGAATATGTTCCATGTGTTGGTGAGTAGAATGTATTTTCTGTGGTTATGGGTGTATCTATTAAGTCCATTTGGTTGAATGTCAAGTTGAGGTTCTAGATCTCTTTGTTGATTTTTTGCCTTGATGACCTATCTAGGGTTGTTAATGGGGTATTTACGTCCCCAGCTATAATAGTGTTAGAGTCAGTATCTTTTTTTAGTTTACTTAGTAGTTACTTTATAAAAACTGGTGCTTCTGTGTTGGGTGAATATATGTTTAGGATGGATATTTCTTGTTGATGGATTGAAGATTTTATC